AGAGACGGATTTCAAGGCCGGACTCTGAGTAGCTAAGAGCAGACATGAACAAAATCTTAAGGTATCACGGCAGACAATCTCCACATTTAGTTTTAACTGGAAATAGCAAGCTTTGGTTGGGTTTGAAAATCTCTTCTTTCAGTCAAGTTTTACTCTATTCAAACTGGGCCGTACATGATCTAATCAGGTTTGACCCATACTACTTAAGCAGTTTTTCTCCACAGCTAAGCAACTACAACCCCAATACCAATACATTCAATCTTCATGGCACTTGCAACTGTATATAAAATCATTAGTGTTATGTGCAATTATTTTAAAGGAAGGTGTAATGGGAAAAGGTGTAGTAACAGGTGAAATCAGTGAAATAATCATGGAAGTGAATAAAGAGCATCTTTCTTTGTTATGCTGTAATGAAGACCTTACAGTTACTTCACTTCAAAGTATGGACGATCTGAAGCGTGCTTTAGTGAAAACAGGGACTCAAGCTGGAATGGGCGTTGTCACCTAAAAGCCAACATGAACAGATTTCCCCCCTGGGTAGGTTTTGCACTAGCATTCTACTTCTAAGAAATAGGTCCTATTAAAATTCAACTGTGTGTAAAGCCAAGTACCTATTATTATTTCCAGGAAATGTATGTGCACTTACCACTTATGCCTATTTAGGTTATAATCAATTTAAAAGAGAAAATTTCACCTATTTTTCTAGCTGTTTTTAATAAGACGTGATTTTTTGAAAAGCAGCAATACCAAAATTTTAAAACTGAATTTCTCTGAATGCTTAAGATTTAAATATTCAAACAACTAGGTGTAGGGTTCATTTTTAATGTATACAAAATAAATATAAGCTAACAAGTGAGCAAGCTTTTGTTTCCTATGTTGGATTGGTTTTCCCATCTAACTTCAATTAGACTTATCGCGTTAACAAATATGATCCCAGATTACTATCCTGATTTCAATACAGAAGAAAATAATACAAGCGAAAGCCACATGAGTCACAATATTTGGCAGTAAGAGCTTTCATTAATTCCACTTACACACAGTAAGAACTATGAGAGATCTCCCAAAGGCATCAGAACACTCTGTAGCCATGTTAACAAAGCTATCTTTTCAAAAAGCTTTGAACACAAAGTATACTGACCACCCAGAAGTTTATAAATTAAAGGAGATGTCTCCCTCTGGCATAATCTAGATGCAAAAATAAGTAAGAAAAAAAAACATTTTGGGGAACTACTGCAGAATACAGGTCAGACACAACCTTTAGAAACCAAATGTTGCTCTTTCTGATGGTTTTAGGAGCTATGTAACACCTTCCATCTATCTAAAGACTCTTCACCACAGACATTACTTTTAAAAAGCTGTAGCAAAACAGGTCTCAGAAGATATTTGCCAGGAGGAATACTTCAGATACTATACTGAGGAGGAATGTTACATAACGATAACTGTGACAAGCATTGGCTATTTGGATTATAACGAGAGTTTTCCCATGTATTTCAGCGGAGAAAGAACGGCATCACAAATCAAACACTTAAAATTCACAAGAGCGATGCTCAAAAGTTGCAGTATTCGAAATTAAGAACTGTGGTGTTTTAATTACATAGACAGGAGGCAATCAAAGCATGTGGAGGCACAGTGCAGAGAAGTTACCTATGTATAAACCCCCCTCTAATGGAATATCCCTGACTTCAGCACTGACTTCCATGGGAGCACAGATGGTTCTGATCGCTGACCTGACAGCAGGGCCTGACCTCGCATAATTAAATCCCACTTTTTGCTAAGTGAACTATTTAGCAGGAATAGAAAAAAAATTAGAACAAATCCACCATGAAATACTCAAATGAAATATGTATTTTACCACAACGATTGTAATGTTTTTTTAACCACTGATACAAAGGTAGGATTTAATTTTTATAATTCAGGAGAAAGCAAAGATATTCTCTATCCCTAATGATTTTCAGGTTTTCAGCCACATTTCTGTCAGATATGTTCTTACATCATTGAATGTCCTTCTCTCTCTAACATCGCCTCTAACTACGAAACCAATCGTCTTTTACTACAGTGGAAACAAAGAGAGATACCCATCCCCTCAAGCATATCTGAACAAGAGCTGTCAAAAGTTTTAACAAATCATGAACAAGCTGTGCAGATCGTTCTCAGTTTCCACTTGGTTCACATATACACGTCATGATTTCAAAATCTGGCAAACTGTATTAAGCAAATGTATGTGGTCTAAAGGAAAAAGCACTATTATATGATAACTTCTTGACTAAAATTTACTGAAATACAAACTCACATTGACTCAAGGTCACTCACAAGTTAACTATGCCTAACTCCAGTTAAGTGGCGAAAATAAAGTCATAATCCATAATGGCACAGGTAGAAATTATTTTGGAAGTGGGAGTGGTGCGATACTTTCTCAAATATCAGGCCTTTCTAAAGTGTCCTGAAGTTAATTACCAGACAACGCACGAATCCAGAAATGTACAAACATTTCTGAATACTTAAACCACAGCAGCATATAAAAATTACGGCCCTGTCTTAACCAAATATACAAGTATTTAGCAAGCTGCATGAAAATCAACAGAATGAATGCTGAATGGAACAGGACTTCAACTGTGAAACACAGCCAGTCTCAGAAGCACATAGGGGTACCTCCAAGAAAATCTCAAAGCCAAGAGTGCAGGTTTTGCTAAATATAAGTTGCCATCATCATTCCATAGCTGAAGGTTAGCGCACGTATCCTCACTATTTTTTTTTAATGAAACATTAATCTGGAGTATCCTGTCACTACAACAGAACAAAACCAGATTTAAAACGAAAGGAAAAATTTACAAATTTTGTAAAGTAAACACTAGGGGCTGTGATATTTTACATATAGAACTATATTTTTGCAGTCGAAGCATTATGACCTACCAGCCACAGAACTAACAAAAGAATCAAATAATACTTCACTGACGTTTACCCAAATTTACAAACAAAGTTATTACCAAGTTCTGTCAGTGGGCTTTTTGGAGCATCAGAGATTCTGGATCCAGGAGGAAGTGGTTGTATTTCATTAGAAGCTATGATAAAAGAAATAATCAAGGCTTTATTTGATGAAGAACATTGCAAGATACAGCATGGAACTACATTTTGGCTTAAACCATTCATCGCTGAAACCAATGATATTTAAAAAAAATAGAAAAGGAAAAAAAATTGTTTTAAATGACAAATTCATAGGCCTTTTTCTATCTTGACAATATAAATCACAATATAAGAACCCTAATCACAACGTAAGAACCATCAAGCAGAGGAAATTGGTAATGAACTATGTCCCCCTAGGCTGGAGTTAAACTGAAAGTCATTTTGATTAAATTTCATATTTTCATCTTAAAAAGCATGACACAAAACCAGGAACATGGACCTTGCTTAAAACAAACACACAAGCAAACAAACAAAAACTTAGTAAAAATTAGGTTGAAAAGAACTGGGAGAAAAGTCACTATTACACACCCAATGTTCCCCAGGGGTTTTAAAGAGGGACAGATGTTCTAGCTTTAGTAAGTTCTGGAAACCTGTTTGCAACAGCATGTGAAAACATGATAAGATAGAGAGCACGATATTCACAGGAATCAACAGAAACATGTAAAAATATTTTTATGAAAAAGCATTAAGTGTCTTCTTCATGTGGTGTATCTGTGTTTCAATGCTGACAAATGTTCACAGTCATCCCCCATTTATGTCAACTGGGCTTTAGAGAATGTAATCAAAATTTAAAAAAAATATATAACCTCAAGCTTAGGTTCATGACCATAATGTTGCATGGTTTTGAAGTTACAATATAGGCAACTCAATCGGCACTGGAGAATTCCGAATTCTGAATTCAAGAAGAATGTGGATACCTCTCCAAACCACAAAACAAATAATGTTAATAAAACTTCTTATGAAGATAATAAATCTTCCATTGTAAGACAGTTCTATGAAAAAATCACCAGAGCTCTTTTTTTCTCCAGGATAAATACAAAGATCATGACATATACAATATTGCATTTTCCCTTTACATCACTGTTGATGCAATCTATATGAAATTGTCATCAAAAAAAAAAAAAAAAGGCAAGACACTCATTATTTCAGTTCAGTCACTGAGGTTCCTGCTACTGACATTATTAGTCATTCAGATCACCTAGGAAAGACAGAGCATTACTTTGAAAAATCACCCAGTCTGAAAGGAATAATCACACAGGTAACAGCCGGAGCACTGTCAGAGCTAGGTGCATTCTGCATTACATTTCACATATACAAATAAGTTGCTGGAAACACAATGGGAACCAGTAAATTCTAATTAGGACTTCCTCTGGAGCAGCTCACTACTAAGGTGATGCAGCAAGTAGCAGAAAATTCTGCGGGAGGAGGAAAAAAGCATTTAGTTTATATAGAAAGTTAAAAGCCGTAAAATTAATTACCCAGTATGCTATGAGTTTGCGCCAGCTCGGGTTTAGGTGTTGATTTAAATTCCTCAGGTCCATACTTTTTCTCAGTTCCAGCTAGAAAAAAGAACCTCGATTTAATTTTGAATCCCTCTGAGCTTTTGCTTAACCACTGCCCACAATCCGCTGTTTTAATTTCACATCGTTTTACGCCACCTGACTGAATCTGAACTGAATTGTTAACCATATTTTAATAAACTAGAGCATAAATATACTCTTCCAGTTGTTACACATACCATTTAGTTTCTAAGGTATATAAGCTATGATCAGTTTTGGGTTTCTTTTCTTCCATCCTGTTAGAGGTCCCATAGAGGGTAATCAAGCGTAAAGAAAAATTAACTAGTAATCTCAGGCTACAAAATGAAAAAGCTTATTGATATGAAACAGAGGATGACAAGGTCGCAGCTTTGAACATGATTAGGAGCATTAATGTCTTCCACGGAGCAAGTAACGTAACATTTAGCACATGCTGATTTCTAGGGTAGATCTTTAATATTGGTGGTCAGCATCAACATAAGACTAAGTTTTAGCATTTTAGTTTTGTAAAAGATCACTTTTATTTTGAGCTACAACAGGAGGAGTTATTTTTGCTTTTGCAGCATGTTTTATCCATACTTTCTCCACCATGTACTAAGTCTGCTTCAAGCAAGAACATATCAGGTGGTTTGTAAAGTTATTATTTCATTTCTTGAAGACAAGATGCTGTTTTCCAATTCTAAATAGTGATGCAGGTGCTACCAAAGTTACAAACATGACAATATTTTCTGGTTTAGAGTTTTCTTCAGGACCATAAAAGCTGAAATCACCACATATGCTGCATTATTAGGACCCAATTCAACTTCTACTGAAGTCAATGACACTGCTGCTACTAGCATCAATGGAAGAAGGATTTAGTCCTATAGGGAAGTTAAAGCAAGTTCTCTCTATAAAACTTGTGCGGAAAAAACTCATCCATAAGAGGTCTAGAAAGACAACTGAAAAAATGAACCTGTCCTCCTCAGAAGTACTTCCAAAGCTACTATTTCTTATCGCTGAAATGTAACCATGAAAAAAAACAAAGCAGCAGCAAATACAGACATTTAGAATTCATTAAGCTCTTTTTTTCTCTTTTTTTAAGAGGTCAGCTGGTTTACTTTTCATATGAAGCATGTGTCCTAGCAGCTAAGTTAGCCGAGTAATTTGAAGAAGAAAAAGCATGCCCACAATTAGGATAAAAGAAACTGGGCTCTGCTGTTCTTGCACAGAATGTTGTGGAAATGAAGAAATAGCAGATATTTTTGCAAAAAAGAGATACAGGAAGCAGAAAATTCAGGCATTAGAAGCTAAATTAGAGGAAAAGAGTAATTTACCCAAAGATGCCTCTGAGTTTTCCAGGGCAGCAGTTTTTAACATTCTCCTGCACTGGTTCAAAGGTAGCTATTGAGTAAATGGTTAACGCAACCAAGCAAGGTAAGTTAGTTTAACGCCACAGCATGGAATTCAGCATGAAAGTGTTTAGGAACATTTCTTAAACTATTTTTCCTCTAACTTCTCTTGACAGTGAATTTTCTCATTCATGTTCCTCTCCCTCCTCAACCGGAATTTGCATATTCTGGTGGAAGCAATAATCTCGTTCCTTCTCAGTCCCACACAAGCACAACGTGAAGCCTTCCAAAGGCAAGCAGGGTCAGAAAGGAGGATAGGAAGAACGGAGCTTGGGAAGCGCAGCAACAAAGGATTTATTCTTATTAAATATTAAATCTAGTTCAGATTCACAGGTGGTACTTTTCATTTCAAGCCTATCGTCTACTTCACAAATCTACTACTGATAAATTTTTGGCACAATCTCTCATATAAAGGAATAATTTGCTTTTAAAAAAAAAAGTTTTTCCATGTCCTAGACAAATGAACTGATATTTTTAACTGTTGGCCAGCTCCAGTCTCCCTGCGAAGTTAATAAAAGGCTTACACTTGATTCAACTGAGAGAAAACAATGTAGTAATAGTTTGAAGAATGTTAGACAGTATTTTAAAGAGAGAACAAAAAAAAAAAGGGTGGTCACTACAAATTTGTGCTGTTGTGTTAAGAGTGAATTATTCCTAAGTGGAAAATATTGTACCAAGCCTGGCTAAAACGAAACATGAAAAGAGCTCACTCAGCAGTCTTTCCATGGAAATTTATGCCAAGGGAGGGGAAGACTGAAAACAAATAAATGGTGCCTTGCTTACAAATACACAAAAAAGTCATTAAACCACATCACATCGCAGAACTCGCCCTTTGGCCAAGAACCAGAGCAGTCCATCTCATGGAGCCTTTAGCAGCCTTTCAGCCTGCTAAAGCATTTGAAGGCACCTTCTTCTCCCCTCCTAGCATTACAAAAGGGAATTCTGTATTCTAAGATTCCTAATTACATACAAACTTCTGCTACAGCACGTGGCTCTGTCTAAATAAGTCTTCTATTGCCACTTTTGGCACTTTAATACTTCAGAGAAAATAATTAGTGTGCTATCCTAGAAGAATCCAGCATGATTTTCAAATAGGTAAACTGAACGAAATAGACCCTAATGCCAAACTCAATTAATTGTGCCCAAATATCGCCTCATCTCTCAAACACAACCCTTGCAAAAGATTTGTGCTCAGATCTTCTGCGTAAATTACTTCAGGAGGTCTTGCTGAAAGGCATAATTATAATCTCTCCATCTGCAATGGCTAGATGGAAATCACACTCAAAGAACTTCCATCTTCTTTCAATGGATCCTCTCTCATTTCCCTCTCTTCTGCCTCCTCTGCCCCTTTTTTTCCTTGACTGAAGTTCTGGAACCACAATGAACACATTCTTTAATACAAACAGCATGACACTCCTGAAAAATTTACTTTAACATGATACACTGGTATTGTGATCAACAAAGAACAACTGAAAGGAATGGCCGCCACAGAAAAGATATGGAAATAAAACCAGAGAGGAAGCACAAACTGGAAGATGAAAATTATTCTAAATACTTCAATAAATAACTAATGGGATGATAGCAATAGGAACATGTTTAGTTGGAACAAATGGATACATATAATTTGTCATGAAAAAGACAGTACTTGCCAATTATCATATATCATGAGACACTATCCAACCTCATAAAAATATAATTCTTTGTTGCATCTAGGGATGCTGAGGTTTTTTGGTTAGAATTATCATACAATAGGTACATCTACCTAATTACAGAATGCAAAGGGGGAAAAAATGAAAGAATAAGAAAGTTTTCAAAGGTGAAAGACTGATCTGAGAGAGAAAGGAAGTAGAATGAAGGACTGATTCCCTTCTCCCAAGGTGATACACCACCTCTAGTGTCAGATTTCACACTGTTTACCTGACTGACCAGTAAGTTCCAGCACAAGGAATGATGTCCTTGGATGAGAAGAATGCAAGCCCGGGACTAGGTTTTGCAGGGCAAAGGAATACATAAGCTTATGCGTTCAATTCTCACTTTCACAAAATGTTCTTTCCGCAATTACTTAGACTAGTTAAATTATTTAGTAAGACATCTGTGAAATATAAGTCCACAAGCGACATCAGACATTGTTTAAAGAAAAAAAAAAAAAAAGAAAGTAATATCCTCCCCCACCTTCTGTGGTAAAGTATCCACACATTTCAAAATGAATTCAAGCTGTTTATTAAACATATGCTGAAGAGGTAAAGTGAGAGTCCACTTTGATAACAGATTCCTGTAGAGGAGTATCTTGGTTTTCCTTTTAATATTTAAGATGAAAAGAAGAGATCTACTGTTATGAAAGCTTTGCAGGTAGGGGGAGTCAAAAATAGAATTTGGCAAATCCACTTGTCTCTAAGCTGGAAAATAAAAATGTGAAAACCAACTCTGACTGACTAAAAAGCAGGATTTTTTAATCCAAAAGATGGCTGGTAATATTACACATTTTTGCTGCATTACTTCATCCTGCATTTCTTGCACTGCCTACATATTCTCTGGGAGTATAAAGGGCTAGTAAACCATGCAAAGTTAAATTTCTAATGTGGGATAATTTGAGCTGTAGTTAATCCAGGGAATTTATCACTTGTAATACTCAATGCATTTTACAGAAAGTACATGACAAAGAGCGCCACAAAACAAATTCTTTTTTTAATCAATAAAAATCATCAAATAAAAAATTAAATGGAATCCTGTAACTTAGTATAAAGGTAAAATGGGAGGGAGGTTTTTTTTAATGAAATACTAAAGACTGAGTTGGTCTGACAATGTAAAGTAGGGCAACTTTGATATACTTATGGAACAAAATAAATGCTGTCATATTTAAGGGCTGAAACAGTATGAATAATGTAATGTCAAAGAAATAATCTGCTTTATCATTTCAGCCAGTCAGAAAATATATTCTAGATGGAAAAGACTAATGACAGAAAGATCATATAATACAACCAAATTAAAACAAAGCAAACCTTTCCTGTATTGTTTTCTCAAATTCTTTTTCATTTTCGTGTTAAAGTCTTGCAACCTTTCAAGTCTCCTCTTCCCCTTTACAATCACAAAGCTGGCAAAAGCTTTACTGTTGTCTCTAATGACAGCAGAATCAATACTTTTCTCAATTATAGCATAAAGACGAGATTAAAGAAAATGAAAAGAGGAAAAAAATTCAGGAATTTGAGTCTATACACTACAAAATGGAAAATAACTCTTCATCATTTAACTCTGAAAAACATAGCTTTCTCCAACCGTTTCTTGTTCAGATTGCAAATATTAAAACACAGGGCTATACTTGGAAAAACTTGGAAAAATAGTCTACTTTGGTTACACTAACTGGTTTCTTAAGCAAAAGAAGGTAGTAAACCTCAGCAGATTTTTTCATCGCGTGTATTTTGAACAGTTTAAGAAATGAGCCGTTGAGTATACCCGTTTAAATATGTGGTATTTCCTCAGCCACAAGCAGATGATAAAAAAAACTTCAGCTTTCCAAATATGCAAGTTTACACAAATTTGACAAACACGTAACACGTGTAACAAACACGTTCTGAATATGAATCTAGGATTAAATTCTGTATTCCTTTCCCAGGCAGGTGAATAGCCCCAGCTCACTTTAAGAGGACCAGTAAGTCCACAGGGAGAGTGGGGTCAAGATTAATGTGTTCAGAAGTGAACTTAAATGGAACTGCATGCTGTCATCACCTGTACTTCTAAAATAGAGCCGTACCTATAACTGTTCCGTCTTAATCTCAACATAAGCATTTTGCACAATCCAGTTGTTATTCCTAATTTCCTCTTTTATGTATTTTATGGAAGTCAGAAAGTCACCATTTTTCACAATTTCAAGGAATCTAGCATCGCACAAAGGTATGGTTCTACTTCAAGGTGTTTTTACCAACTTAGCCATCGGAGCATCTGAAACTTTGCTCCAAAAACAGATTCAGATTTTTATCCACATTCCAATTCCACATACCACTCACAGCGACTAATTCAGCTACATTATGCTCCTGCCTTCCAACTACTGCCCTCAAGTGCAGATTAAGTAACATAAAGACTGATTTAACTTTAGCTTATATATCATTTGGCAAAGATATTCGGCACAGTTTCTAAACATAGAATTCTCATTACCTGGGAGGGCCTGTGGGGAGATTTCTTGAACTTCTGGTGTTTTGGATTCAGCAGGCCATGCTCGAGTTTCATTCTTAGCTAAAGGGACAAAGAGGTTAGAGAGTATTAGCAAAGCTGCCTCTGCTCTGTTCCGCTACAGATTTATTTCTGTCCCACTTCAGTTTGCCAAAGTAAACCAACGTGGATAAATGTGGAAAGCTAACTACCTTTTAGAATCAATGAACTTCTTGCTGCACATCCAGTACAAGCATCTGTCTAGCTATCTCAGACCTGCGTGTGTTTTTATTACTGTTTTGTTCATAATAAGATTCTTTCAAAATAGCATTTATATCAAGGAATTTAATGCCTCCTGAGTCATTAGTTTCACAATGCAAAATGGGTTGCAGTGTTTTTCATTTGTCTAGCATTTCAGCATTAACAGTAATAATGCTTTTCAAGATTCAAAGGTGTAATATAGAACTACCTAGTTTACAAAAATAGTTAAATAAATTTACAAATACAATGGTATTGTCATAGCAATCATGTTTTCCTTTACACTGTATCTATCAATCACAGTGATAGGCCAACAGCCTTCTACTCCACAACCTGGTGTATTTGTACAAAAGCATTAGTGGGCATCACAGGATTTAATTTGTTAAAAAGAATTTAGTTTGAAATAGAGAGGGGTAGTTACGTTATTTTTTTAGTGGATATAGGGAAAATTAATTATCTTTGACATGAATAATACTTGGTTTTTGTTCCCTGAGGTATAAGGCAATTGATTTTGTGAGGTGAAGTCCTTTCTGTTTTTTTAAGGATTGCTACTTAAAAAAAAAAAACTAGCAAGTTTTTGACTAAGTAAAGAGAAACAAAAAACTTTGAGAATTCAGTAAGTATGATATCCTGTAATGCGTTATTTTGACTTTGCTAAATAACAGAAAATTAGATCAGTTGCAATATGTCAGAAAGCCATAACTTCACACACAGCACAAGCTTTACTGAATTTTGTTATAGACACACATTATTCTCGAACAGTGAAGAACGTTTATATACATTTGGACCATACGGAAGAAAATTCTCTTCTTTTTGTCAATTATTTTATACATTTAAACTATTTCTCAGAGTATTTTTGCTTTCCAAGCAATGACTCTTGCCTGTTTTACATTTTGAAATCCATCAGTCCCCTGAGTATACACCCGTGTACTTTATGTTCTCTGGTAAGGAACACACAGTACACAGGGTAAACAAAACAGAACATCAATTGTCTACCCTGCTTATTTTCAGAAAGCTGCCTGTGTGATCTCTACCACACAGAGTGACTCCAAATTGCCATCACACCATCTCTTTAGACAAATCAGAGTGTCCACATTAAGGAGTCCAAGTTCTACACTCAGCCATCTGAAGGAAGTTAGACACCCCTAAGATAAACTGAGACTACCTGTACACTTTCCCCATCTTCTGCTCACAGTCACGTTCTACCATTTTTACTGCATACATTCCTGAACGTTAGGACTGGTTTTAAAACACAACATTGTTTTCTTGCAGAGAAGTATAGTTTTACTGATAGAAAACTAAAAACAAACAAGTTCTAGATACCGTAGTTCAAAACTAAAATTGAAAGTTTAATAATATGGTTTGCTAAAAGTAAGGGGTATGGCAAACAGATTTGTCAAAATACGGTTTACTGACTTTTAATGGCACCTCTGTTACCTGCACATCATTTACATACTAAAACCAGGCTAACAGTAGTAACCTCCTTGTTTGTTACTGTTTGTTGTTCAGAGAAAATATCAATTATCAAGTCAGCAATGTGATGAACTCGATCATCACGATTCAATAATGCTCTGTAATGTAAATTCTGTAATTAAGTTTTCTGTTTAGTTTTTTAGTTTAGTTTAGTGGGGTTTTTTTTTCAGCAGCCACAGTTGATGCTAACAGCCTTCATCTGTCAAATGCCGGTAAATACCTCCTCACTGCAGATAACAACTTTTAAGGAATTCAGCCTCAGTTCATTTAAACATATTCATGTACCATGTACCCCTACCATAACATACACATAGTCCTAACAGGAAGAAGTGCTGCAAAGCAAACCAATCTGAGAATGTGTCATGGCAAACAACAGAGCAACAGAGTAAATTAAACACAGCAGAAATAAGAAAGGAAAAAAATTTGACCCAGTTTTAAGAGTTCAAATTCAGTATTAACACTAGCCAAGCCAAAAGTCATCAGTTCCAGAACTTTGCTTAAGGAATATATGAGAGATGGACTTGGGGCATTATTAAGGTTTGCAAAGATAGCTGCGTTTCCTACAGTCATGCCATTCACAGACAATATTCTAGTTTACAAGCCTTAAATAAAAGGCTAATTAAATCTCTCTCACATTGAGCTGGTACCTGCACGTTCCAGATGTATTCATGAGACATGAAGCGGAAAGTTATACTGAAGTGTTCTAATTTGTGACCACTATTTTTTCATGAATTTAACCATAGACAATCAGTAAGAATCTCTTCATGAAACAATTTCTCACCTCCAGTTAAGACAGAACTCACATAATTAAAGATTGCTGAAAATCTGGTCTTATAAATGGACACAAAAACTCACATTTTCAAAGATGTGCCTATGTAAAAGTAAATTACATTGTAAAGCAAAACAAAAAACAACACCTAAAGTTCATAAATATGGACATGGCTTGCTTTCTTTCCTCTGTGGATCAAAGCTACTGTCTGTTGTTTCGAATGGCTATGAAATATCTTAGGAATCTGTTCAGATTTTTTAAAATAAACGAATTTCTACCAACTCTTCTAATTCCAAAGTAACCATTAATTAAACAAGTGCAAAAAGAAAGGTAAAGGAGGATCCTTGCATATACGTTCTCACACCAACACAGCTCACGAACAATATGAGCTTAGTTCATTTCTACTTACCCATTTTTTTCTTGGATGCTTGGGATATGTCGTCCATTGTCAGGGGAGGAAGAAGTTTCTGCTGAGTTTCATTGAAACCTGGAACAATAAGGTGCACTACACAGAAAGGTGAGTGAGCCATGAATTCAAGAAAGGATGAACAATACACAAGCTGCACCCCCCCTAGAAATGTGAGCAACTACTGCTGAACCACTGGCAGTTTAGCCTGAGTTTCTAGGAAATGAGTTAATTCTATTTAGCAATTATTAATCCCCTTTGCTGCTATTTCCCCTTTATAACACTCCCTGTATTAGCACCATTTCACTATTAAGCAGAAGGGAAAACAATTAAATACTAGAGTGCATGACCCTGGAATACTATAGTATCACAGACAGTGGGGCATACGATCCGGTGTGCCCAGAAGAACCAACACCATCCATACGGTTCATAAGTACTTGTTTAATTATGGTCAATATATTAAAACTCACACCAAGAAACTTATGCCAAATTCTAAGCTATGTGAAGTATTTCCACATACAAAGGGTTAAACACCTTCCTGAATCCAGGAATAAATTTCTTACAAGATGCACGATGGAGTGAGTCTTTCTTATCTATTCCAGGCAGAGTACTATGTCACCACACCAAGCACTATATAACAGATGTTTGCCCACTTAATCTGTTCTAAACCAATGTTGTATACTCCTATAGATCACATGAGAATAGAAAGCATGGAACTGAACGGCTTGAGGGAAATAGTAATGCCCTGAGATATGTAACATACATTACTAAACCTAATTATCAGTGCAGGTTCACGTCTGTAGATGGTATGAGATGGTATCCTACTAATTTAGAAAATAAAAGGACAAGCTCTGATCTCAATAAGATCTTCACCACAGAGCTTTACTTGACATATGAAAGATCTTCCTAGCTCAAACAGCAACAATATCTTCTTTGAAATATTACGACAATAAGGCCATCCTGTTTCCCTTAAACTGCGTCAACCCTGAATCATCTGTACCACCATAAACTATAACAAATACAGTCTGAACTAAGATGTAAAATATCATTTGCTATGTAAGGAAAGAACTATCAAGAATTGGGAAAATGAAAATTATTTACACAGTTCTAATTTTCATCCAAAGAGGATAAAAAAATAATAAAAATATTTTCTAGTCACCTAATATTGCTCCTGGCAGAGAAGAACTATCTGGAGTCTTTGACAGTGTTCGATTTTGAATAACTGTGGAAACAACACAGGCATATTAGAAAATCGTTTAAAAAAAAAAAACCTGAACAGGGAAACAAAACCACACTCGAGACGAACTTCAGCATTCTGAAAGCCTTCCCTCAATTTAATACTTAGAGATGAGGACACCATCCTTATCTCTTCTGTATTTACATTTAGTTTAAAACTGCAAACTGTGCTTTTTCTATGTCTTCTCTTAACTGTGCATCTCTTCTTTCTCCGAGCGTATCAGGCTGATATCCTTGGTGAAAAATGACATTCTACGCTTATGTTAACACACGGCCAGCTCCAGCCCATCTTATTTCTCTGCTGTTCACGTGTCTTCGAAATAGATGCTTCTTTTCATACCTTAGTATTAAGTTATTCACAGCTGGGAGACTAACATACCTGGACAATCCAATTGAAACAAAAGAACACATACAAGCAGAAATCGGAGTTCACTGGTACCCATTCCATAACTCAACTAAGCCATTGTTTATACTGCAATTTAATATCTCATTTTATTAACACAGATGGATAACAGCTTAATAGCATTTGTAATTAAAGAAAATGATGTTTTGTAAGGTCCTTCCTATTTCAAAAGGAAAGTGTCATAACATTCTCATCACAGTCAGAATATTAACTTTTCTATTAAATTTAAGTACTTTACTCTTGCAGAGCATACGAATCAGTTGAAAAAAATATGCAAAATTACCTTGTTTGATTATTGTGACAGGGACTAACTTCTTATTATCTCTTAGAGTAAGCTGAAGGAAGACAAAAAAAAAAAAAAAGCATTGGGACAACTGCCATAATAGTAATTGAACTTTCCTAGTAACAAAAACAGAGGGCTCCAATCCAATTCCTCGCCTGCCCCATGTTAACACTGGATATGGCTTTGGCCCCAGTCACTGAATGTTGCGCTATTGCTTCAACTCCCATGGGCTAGTATAGTAATAAAGCATTTTATCTCCTTCATTTGGCTCAAGCAAGTTATTTCGCTTCATAAAAACACAGTATTTGATGGCTTGGGAATCCCCAACCGTTTCTTCTTTGAAGGATCTCTTGAGCACTCACTTGGGAGTAGGTCAGAAAACTAAAAAAACACTGACATTTAACTACAATAAAACATCTGAAACACAAGAAGTTACAAATTTGGTTACAGGATAAAATTTTACTCTCAGAAGCAGTATTTTTAGAACACAAACTATTCTAGTACAAGGTGGACATTTGTAAACTATCATCACTCTTGGGTGCATGGTCTGCTTAAAGTGGATTAACTCAGAGTCATGTTATTTGGTGAAAGTGGTTCCATAATATAATTGGTCAGCCACTCACATTCTTCTCACATGTTTACTCAGATACTTGCACTTCTCTGCTGTTCGCTTGTCTTCGACCAAGATTAGTTTGCTTCCAAATCTTAATCCTTACCAGTGTTTTGATAACCTCGAAAATAAGGAGCATGTGAGCAGACCCCACATTTTTTAGAAAGAAGAAAATAGCCAATCTCTAAAATTCTGTTTCAGTATTGACTACCATATGCAGGTATTAGAACCAACTTTCAAAAGTCCAGTAACACAATGACTGGAAGACGAGCAGGAAGAAGTTAATGCCACTAGTACAGGAATGCTAAACACATTACAAAGTGGACTTTTTTTTAGTCATATCTGTGTTTACAAGAACAAAAAGAACTCAACAATTTCCTTTCTATGTTAAACATACTCCATTTCAAGGCAGAACCAGTTAATGTTTCTTCGGCACTTCATCATATCTGGTCTATGCCATATGAAAGAACATTGGCATGAAAATTCAGCGTCAAATTTTTAAGATGTCATTTGAGATCCGCTTGTGGAATACGTTTTTCTTCCAACGTTTTTGATCAACTTATACTATCAGGTTCAGGCTTGACAAACGTGATCCAAAAAACTAACAAACACATAAAATCAAGCTGTTTCAAAGGGAAAATGAACTATCTTTAAATGGTTGACAGAGTACTCCAGTAACAATTAAAGAAAGATAAAAATGCAAAGGAATAATGTCAATATCTTTCAAGTGACATGTCTTCTTATGTAAAAATTATCCAGAAAATAGTGATGAATATTTATATTGTACAGTACAGCACAGTGACTATCCTGCATATTTATAAGCTTTCAGGTATGTATCAGATATAAGATTACATAGTCCTATCGGTTAACATAATTCTTTCTTTAAGTCAAAGTATATTCAGAAGCATCTTTATTAAGGCAGTACCTGTGGCATTGGAATTTTATTTATAACATTTGATGCCAATGATGCCACTAAATTATAGATAAGTCCATTTGAGATCAAAGTCAAAAATGGGAAAGATAGCTATCATTTTAGGAAAATCAGAATATCGTCCAAAAACCACAGACTGTGCATACAAAGGATCTCAGCCCAAGAAAGCTGATTACTAAAATCTACTTCTGGAAAGGAAGGGGAAGCACATCAAAAAGGGGAAAGCGGAGAGACGTACAATCACAATTCATAGAAGAACTTCCCAAACAAAGTTAGGTGAAGAAAGAGCCTGGTGCACAGCTACAATGCCTAAAAGGGGAAGATGATTGCATAGTGTAACAGCCTTTCACTAGCAATTTACAGAGATGTTCAAATGAAAATGAAGAGTAGAATATGAATGTGAGAAAGTTATATTAATACACTACACACATTTACATTACTCCTCATTTTGTATATGTTATGGCACAAAGAATGTTATTTTGTGCTGAATTTTTGTTTATAGTTCATAGTGCCATCTCTTTTCTCTTAATTCTACACATTGCTTCTAATATTTGAAAAATTCCTAGCAGTCTGGGAAGCAGATGGACATATATGGGTTTTAGCTGTAACTGGAGGATTTGTACCAACAGGTAGAATAGATTGCCTACACACTCCACCTGGGACCACGAGGATGAACGTCTATGAAGATACATGAATGTCTTCTGCCAAATGAGTCAGTGGCTCAGAGTGATGGGTCCTTTACACTTCCTGGAATACCAAATAATCAGCTGTGGCTTGTCCTTTTTCCTATTTCTGATCAGCTTTACAGCTGCAGGAGTTCTCTTCAGAAGACCACCCATTGTCACAAATGCTTGTGCCACGGAATCCTAACCAGCCTCTGCCTTTCACATTCATCGATCAATTCATAATCGTAAGATTACGGTTTAGTAGGAAATAAGATGAATGGCGGGGCCCCAGAGCTAGTCATCACATTCACAGGCCATCTGGCTGCACTGACAGGATCCTAAAATATCATTGCACGGCGGTCCTTTAGTAAGACTAGAGCTCTTCTAACCTCTGATTTACAAAGTTACAAATGGAAGGCAGCAAAGTGAGTGGAACTTTGATCACCACAACTGAGTAAGAAATAACTGACATCATTAATGTATTTAAAAAATACCTATTAATATATAAAGTATTGAATCCATGAGCTTGGTCTCTGTAAGAGGGAATAAAGAAGGTTTTATTACAAATTGTGTTCCATCTCATTTTGCTCACTGATGTTCCCAGCATCAGTACCTTGCAATACCAGGTGTTTTTTGCCTTGCAAGAACTGAGGACACGAAATATTAGTTGGCATTTGATGGCACAAGTTTAATTATGTACTTAAAGATAACTGTTCATCCTAAATATTTTAAAAAACACTACTTGGATACAAATAAAATACAAAACAAAGTCTAAGAAGCTGGAAGTTGTCTAGTCTTAACAAATAAGATAGCCTTTTCCTCAGAAAAATGGAAGGAAGTTGTTTATTTTATGAAAGCCGTTATTGTCTGTTACTGAGTAACAACTTTGCACTGGTATCAACATGGTTTGAAATTAAGTGTAGATTTCATTATTGAAGAATATAAAATTATTTTCCTTTCTTACTGCTCACTATTTTTTTCTCTATTAGCAGTAAGACTGATCATTCTATTTTGCATTCTATTGAAAAAAAAAGTGTTAAAGATGTTCAGCTTCTGAAGCAACTCTAGAGTTGGTACTTAGGTGGCTTAGGTGGGATGAAATCCAGGTATCAGAAGAAGCTGCCCATTTTCCTGGATTTCTCATCAGGAACCCTTAAAACTAAATATGTAGCCCTCAAGTCCTAGCGAGCCCTCATGTAACTCCAGTGCAGAACTTCAGATCATAATTATTATTGGTCCTTTTATTAGTAAAACATTTTCATATTGACAAAAGCATCTGTTCTTTGTTGAACAACAACGGATGCCCAAGACTTCAAAATTTAGCTTCTCAGTCAAAATCACTGACATGAAATCCATGTGTACTGCAGCTGCTGTACTTATACTGCTCATCTGCACCTAACTGCAACTGCTGCACTGGAAATCTAACAGCATGCTATCAACCCTGTCATTCTCGGTCTCTAAAAAGCACTTACTATAGATTTTTCATTAATTTTTTATGTCCACTAAAACTTACTAATTGATCAAACCACTTCAAAAACATTAGCACAGCATCTGTAGGAATAGATGTGTAAACTGTGTTTTCCAGATAGAGAATAAAAAGCACACAGAGATTAAAACTAGTTATTAAAGTGACTGCGGCATCTCAGTGAAAGAAGGAAGATGGCAAATAAGGTACTACTTAATGTCAGTCCAAAAGTAGAGATGCAAGCTGTATCAAATGTCAGGTATCTTTACTTCTGACCACGTACACCTGGCAAATTGTATAAAGGACTGCACTTCTCAGATATTTTGTCAAAAGCTATACAGCAACATCACTTTTAGAGACACTTTTTAAAAAAAATTTCTTTCTTGCATTCCAGTACCAAAAAAGCCACAAATAATAAATGTACAAAAGAAAGACTCCTCAAGGAAGCGTCACAGTCAACCTGGACTGAACAAGCTTTTAAAGAGCAGCCATGTTTTCCTCTGAAGTTTAACAAATGACAGAAGCTAAGAGTCCTGCTCTTTGGCTGGAAAAATCACAGGATTTTACCTTTCAGACTGACATTATGAAGCTACAGGAACCTAATCAGACAGAAGAGGAAACTAATTTCTACTGCACACTCTCCACCCTACCTCCACCCATCATTTACAAAGGGAAAAAGAATGACCATCCCTAGAGCTCTTCTTTTTTTTTTCCTCCCCTTTCCTTTCTCATTAATTGCAGATCTCACAGCCCTAGGAGCTTAGTCAAACTTAATGGATGAAACTGCCAAAAGAAACACAAAGCTGATATGTGACTAGTGTTGAAAGGGCAGAAGGAACTGATAATGTTTCCTTAATATACAGACTTTAAAAAGTCTCCTTACAGAGAAGGAGTTACAACAAAGCAGATGTAAGCCAGTTGTGTCTTTGCAGCAAAATATGACACAAATAACGTTTGGCTTAAACAATGGTCATTCTGGCTTTGCACTGATGATACAATTGCATCACTGAAACATACTCCACCTAGTACTATGGAAACTGAAGTAATACCGTAAAATGAGTTGGCCGTTGTCTGCTTCCCAGTCTTCATTTTATGGCTTTTTGCACTGCTGAAGTGAGAACGGTAAGAGAATTTTTAGAATAAACTTCTATAGCCTATTTTCATGATACTTCTGTGGAAGGCAACAGAGCAGTACTGCTCTGGAGCTAAGCCCTAGGAAGCTAACTAAAAAGACTAAATGTTGGCCCCAGTCCTCCTTTCATGCTTAAGCTGTGCAAATATTTGGAAAACTATTTTAGCTCTCTTTCTCACGACTTCTCTCGCATAAATGGAATCCTTGGTGTCACAAAGCTGGCGCAATGGAGTCAAGGTCTTGGCACACTGAAGGGCTTGCTAGCAGGAAGAAAAGAATCGAGTTTGCACCCTGGATGCCAGAGTGAATTACCTGGTCTTGGGCTGCCACATACAACTTCAAAGACAGCTTGAGTTTACGGGACCAACGGGAAGAACAATAAATGTGTCTTCACCAACAACACAATGAGGTGAGTACCTTCCTGAATATCAAACTAACTTGCTGTGTATTAGTCACAGGTAAAACATGTTTGAATGGGAAACATCACTACGTTTCCAGTAACTGTGGCACAATTGTGGCACAATTGCTTCTAATTCTGTAAGCAATGCTATAGTTAAAAGTTTTACTGCCTAAATGAATACCTAATTCTTCCTGCAAGAAGAAAATGCATAGACTGTGGTTTACTTCCTGAAGGATTTCCAGGTCAATCCTAGAGACAATTTGCAAAATTGTACAATATTAAGTTTGCACAATTGGAAAACATGCATGGCCATTTCCTACTATGAAAAAACTTGGAAAATCAGAGACAGAACTGTGAAGAACAGACCAGTGGGTTGTTCCTTCATAATAATCACCCACAAGCTAACACTTTTACAAGGCTCAAGTAACAAGGATTCCTACAACTCTTCTTGAGAAGTTCTTCCACAGTCTCATGGACAGTACCTTAAAAACAAAAAAACAAACAACAGCAACAAAACCCAGAAGATTAAGTGCTGAAGCTTGCATTTTGAAGAACAAGTAAGGAAAAGAAATATGGAGAAACCAATTTAATCCCATATAAGAAAAGGTAATGCTCAGGAGTCATGAATAAAATGCCTATTTTCCATTGTACTAAAACTAGTCTACTAACACGTTCAATCTACAGTTCATTCATTTCTGTTTCAGCTCTTGGAAGTAAAAAGTATGTGTATATTTGAATCTACAAATCTGTGAATCTCACCCATGCTTAGTTGGTAGCTGTTATCACAAATGCCAAATGAGAAAAAGAAACGAGAAAATGGATAAATATTGGTGTTTATTTCTGACAAAAATCTTCAAATGCTTTAATGAAAACCGTTAGGAATTCTAGGCTACCACCTGCAAACATTTAATGAATTGCCTATTGATCTTGAAGCAAACTAAGGTGCTTTCCCAGCTCCATCTGGTTCTGCAAACACTTCCATAACATATGAGAACTATTACTGAATTCAACAGGAAGATTAATGATTTCAGAAGACCTGAATATAGAAAAGATCCCTCTTTGGAATAACAGCACTATGTTATCACAAAATGAATTTTCTGCAAGGACAGTCTTGACCACAGAAAATTATCTAAATACCACATATACCACAGGTTAGCAAATCTGACTACTGTAAGATGAAAAGAATAAGCACATTTTGACATTTAGAATCCACATTTTGAAACTATCAGCTTCATCCTTTTTAACCCAGAATCAGTAGGTCTGGTCATCTCAGCTACACCTCTCAATCATTTTATCAATACACATATACAAACACTTCTCTGTACAAGTATTTAGTCTTAGATTTAACAAGTTTCTGGTATTGGGAATCTGTGGTCATAATCTCTTTCTCACTTATTTCTCACTAATAGAGAAGCAAAAATTTGACCACACAAAATATAAACTTGTTATCAAGAACAATAGATTATTCTGCGTACCTGTGTTTGGATATTAGGTACCAACTTGTACATATTCTGGAGTTGTCCATTTACTTTTTTATCTGATTTGACAGAAAAAGAAATAAATACACAAAATTACTTTTTGTTTGGGTCAAAGAAAAGTAAAACAAGTTTATTCAGTTACTGTAAACAGCTTTTTCAATAGCTATGAAAGCAGACTTAATTAAAAGGTATAAGAACACACTCTATAGCAGCTTTCTTTAGTCCTGTTTCTCCAGATTTTTTTTACGTTAGTCTGCAAAGTCTCTTCTTCCTGTATTGACAGGGAGGAATCAAGTGCGTTCTTCTTTTTCTACCACCGGGGATAACAGAGTTGAAGTGGTCTTTAGGGTTTCCTACGGAGAAGTCAGAGGTGCCTAAGAAGATTCTTTAATAAAATTAATAAACTGAAAAAGCTAATCTACAGCAAAGAAACTTGAAAGAAGAGGAATTTCTGCATCCCAGCCTGTCAGGCTGGTACCACTAACAGGTACTGGCCGAAAACAGCATTTTTAAGCTCTCCAATAGTCTTGCTTCTAAGCTCACCCTTACAAAAGTAATATGCACTTAGCACTGGAAATACAAAACATGCATATCACTTTTCTCTGCCTCTGACAAAGGTTTCCCTTGTCTCAAAGATGACCAAAGTAATTCATGGATCTGAATCCCTCATTTTTCTCCTCAGACTTTTCCATGTGTACCAGGTCACAGTTACTGAAGCTTCTTAGTCACACAAGCGTCTTGTGATGGAGCTGTAAATACAAAGGAGTAACAGTCCCTTCGCCCCACCTCAATGATATTATGTTCTAATATCATGCTTCAGATTTTGTCTACATCTTCCATCTTGAAACTATTCCGCTCCCTTCAAGTTGGCAGGCCCAAAAGCAAAAATCAAAGTAAATACTGTTATATTTCTTCAGTATTCTTTCCAAAATGGGCAAATAATAGAAAAAAAATCAGCTGTAAAGAACTTTCAATTGAGAGACATTTAAGTTGACACGCTCATGAAAAAATCTTTCAAAGTGCTTGATATTTCTCAAGAAGAGGACCTATTACTGGCCTAAAGACAAGGGAACTGACAAGGCAATAAAGCTCACACTGACTTCATGTTTGTGCAAACATCAGTAATTTGCTGGTCATTATATATAGCTTTTATTTTCTTTTTCACTCTCTAAAGGAATTTTGGATTCTATAAGCTTCAAGTATTTTATTAGAAAATAGACCTAGAATAGTGTTTTTGCCTTTCAGAAGAGTCATAGGACTTATTGATTATCTATAAAACTAATAAAGATGAATGGAAAGTGAGTAACCTTTTATACCGTTGACTTTTTTCCTTTGGTGCTTTCTTTCATTGAACATTATTTCACTAGGTCTTTTCTAATCTGCCAGGCTATTCATAACATTCGTGGCACAGTATCTTTGTTAAAACTCATTTTTTCCAAATATGTAACTGCACATGAATTAGGTGTTCATTCTGTTTACAACCAGTCCATTATCCGCTTAATGTGCTGGAGAGCAATTTAATTTGTGATCTCCAAGAAATTCATTTCTGGACAAGAACAAAAAATGATCTATTTGAAGTAAACACTCGTTTGCTCATCTGTCACACTTGTACATCCCATCATCTTACTAAGCTGTATTAAACTACAAATATTGTATCGTTATCCCCTCTGTTTCCTAAGTGTTTGAATATATTCCAGCATTTGCTCTATAGCCTCCTATAAAATGTTTAAAATCTGGAAAAAACTGCCATTTGGAAAGTGTTATTTAGTGTTCTGACACAGAGTTTCCTTTTATGGGACAGGTACAGGAAAAGACCACCACCATTCTCCATTTTAAGCTCATGGCATAGCGATGGCATTATTCTGGACTGCTTCAATGACTCTGAGAGGCCCAGGCAGGTACTTGTAAGCTACAGCATTCTAATTCATGTCGATGGCCAGCAGTATTTACATAGTGTGAGAGCTTCTGCAGTGTTACAAGCCACCCTACAGCTCCCCTCCCTTATCCTGAGTATACTGACCTGGGTAACTTGGCAATAGTTTGAAACTGAGGTCCAACACAAACTGCAACTAGAAATCTCATATGAATAAAGCTCTCTTAGGAGACTTCCCATTCTTAATGTTTCCAGTCAAGGTCAAAATACGGAGGATAAGAGTTTACATTATCTTCTGACAAACTTCATGCTCAGAAATTTCTTCATGTAAAGGTTCAAGGAAAATAAATCAGACTGGACAATGTCTGTTAAGCCTCTCTCATAAGAGAGAATTCATCCATGACAGCAGTAATCTTTTGAGCAGTATGTGGCTTTTTCAATGATTACTTTGATGCCACTCGGCATGCACGCTGCCCTGGGGCTTTGGAGAAAAAAAACTGAAATATGACTGAGAACAGCTGGAGATGCCATATGCTGTCTCCATAAAAATCCAAACAACGGCATAAACGAGAGACTACCAGAGCACAGGTACAAACACCACTTGTAAATGGTGTTGTAAATTTGTTCCTTGATCAAAAATTAACTTCAAACTGTATTTTTCAGCAGAATCACAAAGGGCTCTTCTTAGTTATTTAATTATTTTAAACTGAAGAGAGTCCAGTTCTAAGTCAAAATTCAGTTCTTACTTTTACTGCTTCTAAATATGGGGCCCATTGTGATGCATGCTGGATAGGATAGGCTCTGTCTAGCTTTTAACCAGCTTGTACTTACAAGCAGATAGAAAATAAGATTCAAGTAAGGATACTGCTTTCCATCAAATCAAATTAGCTATGATCCTACTATGCAAAGCCAAAGGAGAAACCTAGAAAGCTTGGAATCCAGTCAGAGGTGTAACGATACACAAACAACACCTTACGTGTATCTAAACCAATCACTATTACAGTTCTATCAAGCTGCAGCAGATTTCCTATTATTTGCAATGAGAAGAGAGCGCTTGTCAAAAGAGCAGGTGGTAGTTTTTCAACTACATACTATTCCTAGTTTCACTAATTCCTAAAATAATTTGTTAGGGGCATAGGGATGGAATTTAAACAAGGAAAAATTGCTCAGTAGTTTACTTCGAATAATATTATGATAGCAAAAAAAAAAAAAGCTGTCAAACTGGGTATCTATTAATTATTGCTAAATACTTACTGGACAGAACTGTCTTGTGATTGAAAGTCTTGCTCCAAATACTATCCTCTGTGTTGTCTTTAACGCCAAATTCATAAAGTGTGTTTGGCTTCAGATTGTCCACCACTGTCTCTGTAACTGGGCAAAGCTGAAAAACCCATTTCTTTTCTTTATCCTTTTCTCTGTAGCGAACTGTATAGAACCTGTTTCAGAAAAACAAACACATAAACAAACACGTGTGTGGGTGTGTGGCTGTGTGTACGTGTGTGTACTCACCAACCTACAAATCCCAGCATCAGGAGCGTCAAGAGTAAAATGACATTCTCATTATTCACTTGACCTGCAAACAAGCGTATGTGGTTCTGACCACAAACTGCAAGCTCATTTTACAAGCACTTTCAGTGATATTCTGACATATGCCAGAACTATGCAACGGAATCATCAGCCTATTAGTCAAGAAGCCTCAACCAATTTCTTAGTCTTTTATACCCATCCAGGATAAGGTGTTCCCCCTAAAATTAGTCCAAAAATATTTGTAAGGGGAAAACAGTAATAGTTGACATTTATGCAATACATTGCTCATTCAGTGATCCCATTATGTATTACCTGCACTTAAAACAGAAGAGTAAACCAATACATTACTTTTGGCAGCTTAAAATCAACAATGTGATGAATACTAACACCTTATAAAATTAGAAAAAAAAAAAAACCCATTTCTAATGAAATTGCCCAATTGAATCAAGCGGCACCACCCTGAAAGAGTACGGCTGCAATGCTAACGAGTATAAAACAACACAATGTAAATGATGAGAGTTATGGCACAAGAGCTCCACCACCCACTACAGTGTCTCATCTTCAATATACATACTGTATTACTGCCAAAACGAGGTGGGGTTTTTCTGTGAAAAAATTGCAAGGTTTGGCAACTTTTTCCACATGTTACTGGAAATTGTTACATATGGCATAAATAAAATCTATCCATTTCCCTTGTCCATGACACATTTACATCAGCTGAAAAATGAGGAATTCCATCCAATTATATTTTACCCACTTGACTAATGGCTTCAGGAGAATTCACATCATAAAAGAAACAAAACTCTAACGCTTTATTTCACAGTACACTTCTAAGAATCACTCAGAAGCAAAAAAGAAAAACAATTTTTCTCAATGTGCTTTGAGAGATTTAATCCAGATATTACATAGGAAAATATATGCAGATAAAGGAGAGGACCCAGAAGAAACAACCAAAATGGGCTTCAATTAACTGAAAAGGTATCATGTCGCAAGTTCCAGTTTAAAATGAATTAACGGGCCAAATATAATTCTGTCAATGCACAAACCCACTTTTGGCAAAGTCAAGCAACTCATAGAGCAGAGTAAAAGCGAAAGGCAACTGCTGAGAACATGAAAATTTCTTCTTCGTTATTAAAAGGCAGCCCAAGGTGAGGCAAGTGCCAGTCTTGCAAAATACATTCACACACAAAGCTTGACAGTTATGGGATAAAATATATAAGTCAAATTTGTTTCCTCCACACCAAAAGTACAAGTTTTTCTGTTTCATTAGCTACAGTTCAGAAAATTGTGGGCTGGATTAACTACACAAGAGAGAGGTTATTGCAGCTACTAAAAAGTATTCCTCTAGGTTATGAAATTAATGTCTGTGTTGGCTCACGACTCTCTTCATTAGCTACTACTACATTAGCTACTACACAAAGCTACTACTTTGCATTCAAAACATGCTACCGTCCATCACAGAATGGGCCTGCTTTTCAGTAACGATTAAAGTTCTCCCTGAGCATTACAGTATTTCACAGGGGTTGGAATATTTCCTCAGAAATGTAATTTATGTGTCTTTATCACTCTGAGAACCCTGATAAGAAAAAAATTATAATTCTTTATGTCAAATGCATAGCAACATTTATTGTTTTCCCTGAAGCTTATTTACTGCCTTTTCCCCCCTCTAAACCCAATGTTTTTCCCTTTATTATTAATCTGCATCCTTACCTCTATGGTCTGTGATCTATTCACTCTTCGTATGTCAAGCAATATAAGATCTAGCTACAAGCTAGACTGACAAAGAATGTTTTTACAATAAATTATTGACAGCGTTAACATGAGGAAAAGTTCCTCTCCTTTAGTCTCTTAACCGCTTCACGCATAATCACAGAGACATGAACACAGACTGAGAAGCTTACTTGAAATCGCTGCCACAAATAAATAAATCCCATATGAAGCATAAACGCGTCTTGCTGCACTCTATACAGTCTTTTGTAAGAGATTTAGAATAGGCATAGATGGATTGATAAACACGATGTACAAATAAAAGTAGCCACTTTCTTCCCAGCTTGTCTGAAAGATGAAATTTCCTTTGTTTTTATGTTCATCTTCAAGCTTTCCTTTCTTAATTCAATGAGATAAATATGAAATGATTATATTTAGTGGAAAGAAAATATATAGATTCATTTCAGTTCTTCAAGGTTCAAATCAATAGCTGCACCCGAAAAGAGTAGAACTTCCTCCCTCCTCCCAAATCCTGATTCTTCTAAATAGGCTTTTAAGCGGCTCTCCCATTTGCCTCTACTGTAGGGAGTGCTCTGCTTGTGAATACTATCCCCACACCTGAAAATTCCTTCTTCCTAGCATAAGGTAAAATACCCAGAATACAAATCCAAGTCAAAAATCATCTTCCACTGAAATTCAAAAGACTATAAAAAAAAAATCTGACAAGGAGATTTTCACAGTTGTGCCAAACTACGCCATTAGAAATAGATACAAGGAGCATAGGAGAACAGTGCTCTCCACTCCAAGATTTCCAAGCCTATAAAAACTTCACGAAGGATGTAATTGCTTCAGTGGAAACTTGCCACAACTAGTACTAAAAACGCTGACTGTGATGATAGAATTTCCCCAATGTATTTCAATAAAAAGAAATCAAAATAAAGTTCAATTTAGCAATTTGCAAGGCAACTCTGAACATAATAAATATCCAAATTGTACATCAATATGCATTTTTTCAGAAATACAATCATTTCTTTACAGATCACAAATTCAGAAATGGGATTTTGTTATTAAAGAACAATAACTCTTTGTTAAATCTGACCAACAAACTGCCAAATACAGTGAAATTTCAGAGCCTGAATGAGAACATCCTGCTGATGACATTGTACTGTCTTTTTAATTTCTCCCTTATATCAAACCTTCTTTCTATAAATATTATAATATCCAGAAATCAACACATACAATTAAAGACATGAGAATGCAGAAAAATCCAGTTATCACATATGTACATCAATCCCCTTGTGACAGCGACATTCACACACAAAATTTGCATAGCTGGTCTGCGACGTATATCAGAAACTGGCAAAACTATTTCTTTTGGTTTGCAAAGATTTAAAGAAACATCTCCTCAGATCCCCAAGAAAATGATACAAGGCAAGGTAAAAATGGAATACAGTCACAGTGAGATAGAAGGGAAAGGTGCACTGCAGTATTTCTCAGACACTTATCTCTATGTGGTTAAGTATCTGACAAATTGATTGTGTACTGCAGGGCCCTGACAGCTAGTACAAAAGTAATACACAATTCAAGTAAAGCATAACTGAAACACACCCTGCAGTGCCATTCACAGCTCTAAATGCTAGCTTGATGTTTCAACAGCAAGGAGGTAGCACACCTCAGTTTTTGTACTCTGGAGCAGTTACACTAGGTGAGAATTTATTATACTCTAGATTCTTACCACGCACACAAACCTATCTGTATTTACCTACATTTAATCTTTATTCCTTATTTGTTTTGGTAGGGGGTAGGAGAAGGGTACATTTTATCAGAACAATGTTTATTTAATAGCACCTGTATTCCTATTTGCAGCAAATACCCCTTAATGGGCAATATTTAATTTATTAATTACAGGCTACCTGCAACCAAACCACTGTGGGGACTGTAGAAGCGTTTTTCCTCCTCCATTTCCACTAGACAACTGAAAGCGCAATATATTTCAGCTACTCAAACAGAAGGTGTCATGAGCAGGTGAGGGGTACAGTCTCACTCAGAGCTAATTGCTGTAATAAAGCCAAGAAAAAAAAAAATAAGCAGGTGAAAGACATAGAACCTACATTAGCCAAGACAGCCTGTCGCTATATACCTTTTCGTAATACTATGATGCGTTTATGTTTGCATTCTTGAAACTCTTTATATGCAAAGAGCCTTAAGTATTATTTTACAATATTCTGACCTTGCTTGCCTCCATCTAGGATACAGGCAACATGTGAAATAATGGCTGAATTAAAAGCAGCAAAAATAATCTCGTAATTTAAAGACAGCCTCAAGAGTCTGATCCTCTCCCATCTGCCAATCAGCGCACCACATGTGCAACATCTATGTAAAAGACTATCAAGCTGGTATAAAAGGATGTTTCTATCCTTTCTATGCTCAGTTTATACAGATTTTTTACAACTCACAAGGCAAGGCAGTGAGATCTTTTATTTCTCAGGGTAAAGTTAGCCTTCTTATTACATAAGATAACAAAATATGATGAGCGCTTCAAAGCAGCAGCTCACAGTTTTGCTTTTGAAATTAATGGAAATCTTCCTTGCTTCTTTGAGGAGCAAAATTCTAGGTTAGATAGATAGACAAAATATTGAGCTTTCATATATAAGGACGAATGACACTCTCTTGCCAAAAATTTCACTGTCATTTCTCCAAGTATTAACCAAAACTCTTTTCAGCCAGATTCTCAGAAAATGCTAGTACAGTCAAATATTTGGGCCCAAATAATTAAATATTGGAAACCTTGCAAGGCAGATGGTTCTATGAGACTTTCAGACAAAGTCAGCTTGTATAAATACCACGGGTTTTTGGGATCCTGATCCAAACCAAAACTCCAAAGAATTTAATCAAGACTTTTTAAGTCACACACAGTCATAAACAAACAATTAAGCATGGCAGCTACAACAACATTTCTGCTCTGCGATTTCACGTTGTCATAGATAAAAGATTATAAAACCTATTGTCTTTTTTGCATATGAATGTAATCAGACTTTTAAAGAGACTATTTATTTGTTTGTTTATAGTTAGATATCATTGGAAGCATAGCATCCATTTAGTGTTAGAAAAGAATTAAGGAAATGGTTTCAACTATGATTTTTCAGAAACTGAGTATTTCACAAATTGACACATAGTTAGGTATCCCTTTTGTTGCCAATTTTACTTGAAAGTAACAGACATCAACAGATGCAAGAAGAGAGAAAGAAGCACATCCCTGATGGCTACAATTACGTTTGCAAAGCATTTGCTAATACAGTTTTCACTTTTACATGATCTTAAATATTCACTTTGACTAAATTATTTTGGCAAAATTACTTAATTGCATTGAAGAATTAGAGGCTCTGAAGAACGAGAGGCTGACAACCAATAAATCTTTCCATGTTTAAACAAGCTTTCTGCCAATTGTTCCACAGCAGCAAATTCAAAAGCATCTGAAATTCCACAAGGTCATTTGCTGCAGCATGTCTTCCTTAAGGAATTCTGCTAAGTTTAAAATCTATTTTCTATGACATCTGAAACACAAACTGTGATCCAGTTGCCAGCTGCATAGCGACACAGATTTGTAGATCTGTGCAAAAGGAGATGCATGCAGCTAAACTTTCTGAATTTAGGGTTTTAAAAACCCTACTTCTATGTGCTGTATAATATAAGTAGTAAGTATGGATTTTTCCCTCTTTTCCTCCTCTTTATTTTTTATTTTCCTTTTTTGCAGGGCCAAGGGAGCAGATTTAAAGTAAGAAAAATCTGCACTGAATGTAAATATGAACTAGGATATTTAAAACATAGATAAACAAATTTACTATTTCTGTTTTGGATGTATCTGAAGCTTGCTTCTTTTTATATGCAGACCACTTGATACAGTAAAATATACTGTTCCTATCTACAAAATCTGTCTGTCTTGCATAGGATCACTGCATTTTCTGTTCCTTCCCTCCCCCTTGCCAAACAACTGAAGGCCTGTTAGGACCCCTCCTCTGTTTTGGGATCTGTGGTGTTTTCTAACCAAAGGGAAGCCCAGGAAAAGACTCTGCAATAGTGGACACTTCTTTTAGACCTAAACAGACAGTAAACATACCCCCAGTATGTGTATTATGACAGCTCTGTCCATTAATGGTCGGTTGAACACTGAAAGGCAGAGGAGAAACAAGCTTCTCCGCTCTGGAACATGAAAAGGGGAAATAAACCTGTTGGGCAGATTATCATAACTTTGCTATCCTCCTTCATCAAGCACCTCATACTGGCATAAGAAAATAGAGGATGCTGAGAAAGCTATGTTTAACAGCATTGGCGGAACCTTTCTGGCATTGTGAAATGTTTAACAATTACATAAAATTAAATTATTTGTTTTTTGGTTTGGGTCATTTGTTTTTTTGCATTCCAGTGCTAAGGCTCTGACCAGAGATGATGACAACTTCAAGAAGACTCTAAAATTTGACTTGCAAAGAACTACAGTCCACCCAAATTGCAGTGACCATCTTTGCTTCTAACAAGGCATGAAGGCTTGGGGTTATTTTGCAGAAAATGTGCAGCACTTAATCTCTGGCGAGTAATACGAAAACAACTGAAAGATGGTTTGCTTCAAAATGGCATGGAGAAAACACTTCCTTCACTGGATTCTCTTAAAGAGCATTTTGTACAGGTAGAATTAATACTATGTGCTTGCAATATGCAAGCAATAATTTCATTGTTTCACTGAAGCAACAGAAGAGCTACCAATGCTCTCTGAGAACGTTGCACCCCTTGTTGAAAATTCATTCATTCGCAAAACCAGATCTTCCAAGGAACATTCCACTGAGGTCAGACTTGCACTAGGGAAAACAGATCCAGGCTGTTCCATATGGTTTCCATCTTCTGAGTCAGTAACATGTCCAGATAGCTTATATTATGCAACATTTGTATAAAAGCTTCATGTCAATCGGAGATGGTAAAATCTGGGGCTGAGAACAGTGACTCCATTTCAGATCAGACAAAATTAGAAATCTAAAATGTGGTGGGATATTAATGGCCAGAAGTGAGGTAAGGGATCAAAATTAACACATACTGCCAATGTCAAAGAGTAGAAGTTAGTCACCGTACAAGAATCTTGCTGGTGATTAACAGTACATTTCAACATCTCACATTAAGTAGAACTTGCCAGATTAAAAAGAATGGGGAACTGAAGTAGTGTATCCTTGCAATAGATACAAATGCTGATGAATCAGTTGTCTGAATTTAAGTCTTGAACTTTTAACATGAGGCTAACTTGCTAAGGATGGGCTACTTCATAAATTTTCTTATCACAACCATCAGCTCAGCTTTGCAGTCGTTGCATCTGAGCTATACATGTAACTCAAACGTCAAATTTTTCTACGTGAATGCGATACTTGCATTTTATCACCATGACATCTTAAAACTACTTGGTAAACAAAAGCATCACATAATAGGTATTTTATATTAGTCGTGACTGTTACTAGTCAATTATATAATTAATATATAACAACCTCTCCCTATACACAAACTGGTTGCAAATATATCTGAATCCATTCTCCGCTTGGAATTATAGAAACATACACTGTGGGTCAAATGGAAAACTATTCTCATCACTTGTACAAATCACAAGCTTCTTGGTCCAGTAAAGGTAAAGCAAATGAGTATCACTTAAATTTTTAGATTTTCAATTTTCTTTCTCCATTCTCTTTATTGCTGTGCTTAACTGCAAAATAGAAATCTGCTTATAGGCACATGCCCATAATTTTATATGGCCATTTGTAATTTGGTTTAGTTTTTTTTTAAACTAGCGACTCATGAGCGCTGGTGTATTTTTACAAGGTTGAAGTGCAGGCAGATATTTCAACGTTTGTTTAATCCTTTTGATCTTTTTCCATATAATGAACAGTATGACTTTTACAGAAAAGGCCTTTTGGGCCTGAACTTTAGAAAACATGTACCAACTTGACATATAGACATGGTAAAAGCAAATCTTGCTTACCACAGTAGCAAACATATAGAATATATTCTGAACACAGCAAGATATCAGTAAGCAGTGCATTTAGTGGAGAACATTACGTAGTATGTTAAACAGTGTTCAAAGTTTGGGTCAAGTAATGTCCAAGAATATTCAATTACTGGGGAGAAAAACAGAGCTGATGAAAGCATCATGGTGGGTATCACGTGCCTTGAATCTCCAGGTAGGTTAACATAGGATATATGTTTCTTCTGAAGTGCCCTTCCTTCCCACTGCACAGTGGGTGCTATAATTTTGTTTGCTGACATAGCATATAGAAAAGATACATTCCCTGGTAAAAAATGGTCTAAAATCATCAAGTGAGAAGAAGACTTTACAAGTTCCTGCAGGATCAGCTCATTTCTTGGAAGGAACTAACTGCAGGAAAGGGTATGCTTTATTAGGGGAGCAATATTGGATGTAGGAACAGTTTAAAATAACTTTTATTTCTACTAAAAAGAAATCTAATTAAATTAGGTGGCTGGATATTTCCTAACTTTTCATAACAATTTCCTAATAAACATGGACATTCGATTTTCAATAGTATTTGAGGTTCTGGGCCGTGATAAAGATGTTCATAAGAAATTTCTTCAGTTTTGAAAATGGCTAGTCCAAAGCTTTTGGGAGGCAATGAAAAGATCTTACTGGCTGCATGTGCTTTGCATCATGGTCCAAGTTTGACATTTCCTGCCTCGTATCAATAGTTTTGTGATTAACTCCAAAAGGAAGTAGATTCAAGCTCTCAGTTAGACAGCTACAAATCAGATCAAATACCAAAGTGATAAGAAAATAGGAGTGTTCCCAAGAACGTAAAGGTGCATTAATAAAGCAAAAGATGATGGTGAGAAAGTGGATATAGATGCATCTTGAACAAAGAAAAAGGAAAGCACTGTGAACAACAGAAAATGGGTGAACAAAGTTTCTTCTTAGATCTTACAAAACACTGTGCAGTTGAATGGAGCCTCATGGGATGTAAACGAAGACAAAAAAAAAATGCCTTCTGTCATAAAGAGAAGAATACAAAGAGAGCACCAAAATGTTAGAGCAAGGAAAATCCTGATATTAACAACTTTAACAATCCCAGCAAATCAGTTTTACTTGTTTGCTAAGAGTTCTCTAGAACATAACGGTGCACTCAACTGAGAAGCCGTCCAGCATTCTGACTTCTCTAGAAACAGCTACTTGGTGAGCCTTCCTGAGCTCCCACCTGCTTATTTAGTGATAAATAAAGCACCTGATTAGTTAGTGATATCAATCACTAAATAATTACAACAAAACAAAAATTTCATAATAGAAGAGATCTTGTTTTACTTTAAAAAGAAAGTTTATGAAAACTGTACTGTAATACAAGGAAAGTGTGCAGTGGTAAAACCAATCACAGGAAACAAAAATCAAATATCAAATATCATTGAAACAAAGTGCTATCCTCCTGTCAAGGCAGAGCCAAAGACTGACTTTACTACTACATGGCCAGCTTTAATCAAGATATTTCCTATGCATCAAAGTTTCTTTGATTTATACGAATACAAATGAAGGTAGAGACAAGGTCTCTAGTTTGAGAAGAATTTAGAGTGAAATAGCAAGATTTGTACTTCAGCATGTAGGCACTCCTTTGAGCTCACATTCAAAACAAGTAAATTCTTACTAAGCATTAATTTAAGTACAGGAGAAAACTTACTTCATATTCAGAACTATTGCTTCCATGTTTTAATTCCCACTGTCAAATTTATTCTGCCACACCAGATAATCACCTTCATACCATCAAGCATGAAATGCTCAGTTAAAACATGATCACCATAAAAGGTGTTTTCTGTTACATTACCTGTCACTAGCGCAGTTACTTGTTGCTGTCCAGTCATGCTGAGGGTTGACTAGGATGCCCCAAGAGAGGAAGACAGAGGTTGGGGTCAGAGTCCCAACTACCAGCTGCAGAGGCTTTTGAGTTTTGGTCCGACCTACATAAGAAACACACCATTCCAGTTACAAGTTAGTTTCTCTCTCCTGCATTATGTAGGAGAACATATTTGCAGTTGGATAATGAAATAAATGAAGATCTACTTCTCTTCTAAATTTGAAGGAAAAGGTACAACAGTCCTCTCTTTTTCACAGTTGTTGTTTCTAATGTATGATTTAAAAAGGGGAGAGAGGCAGAGAGAGGGTCTGGATCGGTTTGTTGGCTTCACGTTGAGGCAAGTGAAATGTCTGGAAGGAGGGGAGACGGCTCCTTCTCTGAAAGCAACTGAGTGAAGAAATGCAGAACAAAGTAGGCAGAAAGAAAGGGAGGATACAGCTAGCAGGCTCCTAAAGGAGAGATGAGGAAACTACTTAGAAAAGTAGATATCGGACACATAATCAAGTCTCAGAGGCAACAAAAAGATTTTTTCAAGGTTGTCTCTGGGCTTGCACAACGTGTATTTCAACCTAGGAAGACAATGAAAGACTTCACTTCCAAACTTGTGGATTCAGGGTAAAACTAAAGGAAAAGATCCATCCTGCTATTATTTGGTGGGCAGGAGGGAGATTTGTTTACAAAACTTTGCATTTCTACTTTGTCTTATTTTCAGTTTTCTCTGTTTCAAGAAGTTGGGCTTTTTGATATTGTGTTCCACATAAAACCTAATTTTTGAAAATCAACGCTTTTTTTGGTGTTTTCGATATGCTTAGTATAAGGCAGATACAAACTAACCTCAAAACTCTGGCTATCTTGGACCATATCACAGAAATCTTGGCAGGACTTGTTACGAACCCTGCAATTATGTCCACATGCCGTTCATACTGTCTAGAACACCAAAAGTTAGATCAAAAACTAAAAACATTCTCTTAACTGTAGGCAGATCTGAGTAGGTGTCTGCATCTAGTGGCAATCTTCCCTTTTAGTCCCTTACTAAACTCAGATTGCTCAGCTTTTGCATTATACTTAAATTTAACTTTGCTCTGAATGAATTAGCACAAGCATCCTTCACATGGAAGAAGAAATCTTGAGTAAGGTTTAAATGCTAGTTTGGAAATAAAGAAATCATCTAGAACAGTAATTGTCAATATGAAGTTTGAGTTTGTAGACTACTGCAAGTAAAGATGATTAATTAAGGGAAATTCATATATTCTTTATATCGGTTCACATACTTAAAATATCTAAATGATCTTTACCTTTACAGAAAAAAAAAACGCACAGGGGCCCAAAAGTTACCCAAACATTTCATTCACTGCTGTGATACTGATCTAAGTCTCTTTTCATGCCTCTTGATCCCTAATAGGTCTCTGCTTAACAAGCCCCGATGAAAGTCTGATCTGCATTCCCAAGCAACGCGTGTGCAGCTGGATACACTAACTATGTGGGTGTTTTACCGCATATGTATGAGGAACATGTAAACAACAACAACCACCACCCCTCCCTTTCCCCTCCGCCCTTATGAAGAAGTATGACATTACGTAAAATACTGTGGAACATATACTTTTATGAGGGCAAAAGCACAAATAATTTTCTTGTTTTCTAGGTTGGTTCCTATCCTCTTTCCCCATTGTTAAATAAAAACCTAAAACAAACAGCTTACTCATCAAACTATTTGGCAAACTTCCTGAGCACAGTGAAATCCTTTTTTTAATCACTTTCAGAGGAAACATGGAGAATACATGAGTTTTAAGGAAAAGAAAAATCAAGTTCTCGTCTAACTTGAATTCATTACACTGTCCTCCTTGTGACCAACATATAATCTTGAATCTGAGTCTTTTTTCCATTAGTTCCCAGTTAGAGACTGCTATGATTTATACACCACAAAACTACAAAGTATCCATGTAATCATCTATTTTGATCTACATGAAAACAAAACACACAACTCCCCTTTATTAAGTGGTATTTGAGCTACAGTGGATCTTTTAGAAATGTAACCAATCTTCATAAAATTGCAGCGACTCAGACTCTATCACAATCCTTGATAAATTGTCCAGTTTAACCATACTCACTATTAAAAATGCCTGCCTCATATCTAGTCAGCATTAAATCAACAGCTGTTTCTGTATCTTTGTCTGCTGGACTAAAAAGTCAATTGTCAGAATCTTGTTTCACGAGTCAATTTCTGCAGACTGTGATCTAGTCCTTGATCACATACTTAAAGACTGTGTGACTCCCCTAAGCTTACATGATCAATCTTTCAGAGTCTTCCACTGGAAAAGAGTGGAAGATTTTTCAAATCTTTAGTCATTCTTCTGCCTCTCCACTGAGCTCTTCAATTTATTGATTTCTAGCTTCAGTAGTGGATGAAAAGTCAAAAGGGCTATTGAATTGGTCCCCCTCTGACCCAATTAATACTTAATTATTTTTAATTATGGAAACAGCCAGTAGCTTCATGTCTAGGGTAGTCATCCATTATGCAAGCAGTTATAATTCAAGTTCCTCACCAGAACCGAATTGAGGACTGAAAAAGTTTTTTCTTCATGCTTGAAACAAGTGCCCCCAAGGCTTTTGACTATATTCAAGTGTGATCTCTTTATGTTAGTTCTGATCTCTATACACAGACTCCTCTGCAGCCCTGCCCCAGATTTTATATTAGTCAGTCAAACGTTTCCTAAAAATCCAAAGAGGGGGGGAAAAAAAGGAAAGAAAATACTGAATTTTTCTTCATTGAATGCAAGTAATTTTGTGCAACTTACTTTTGTCTCAAAAACAGTAATTCCTTTATTTGCTTCACATTAAAAAAGAAAGGAAGGAGCGTTCACTGTACAGGCTCAGCTGCAGGCAACAAATTAAAATATTGCCAAGCGTAACAGCAGAGTAGTGGTAATTCCAGTTCCCCAAAGGTCACGTTTACTTGGGTCAACTGACCCACTTAAAAGAATAAGACCAGCTATGAGGTTGAGATAATGGTAAATGGTACCCTAGAATTCATAAACAAAAGTCAGATCCATCATTAAAAGAAATGATCTAATTTTCCACAACTGAAGCAGACACTAAAATTAACAATCTTCAAACAGTGCATTAGAAATTTTTTAAAAATATTTTTACATATGTATTGCATCTGAAAGGTAAATTACGACCTTTCTAGAGGCATCTATACATATTGTTTTATGTTTGCCCATGAAGGAGGAGAAATTAATCCCAAGTAACTACCAGGAATTAGAACGAATTCCATATAAAGATCTGAAAGTATAAATACATAAATAAAAACAAACAGTTTATTCTTTGCAACATTTCCATGATCCCAAGCAATTAAAGCACTAACAGTACTAATGGCATGATTACAGTCATATAGATAGTCTCTGGCAGAAAAACAAACAAACCCTGCAGATTTCTATTCTGCTATGCATAGTTTCAGCTAGAAGAATTCCTCTTCCCCCAACACACTGCATCAGCAAACCTAGTAGCAATATTCATTTACAGATATACATATACCAAGAGAAATTATCATTTCCAATCAGGTACAAAGAACACCAAAATGTCCATGGATTACAGGATCCTTAAGGGCAGTTTGGAGATAATACACATCATTAAACTTCAATCCACTAGATCATTATATTTCAAGATAAAATGTGCTGAGCCTTCCCATATTTACTTTTTCACATACACTGGTGACCTCTTTAAACATCAGAAATTAGTATTCTAAATTTTAATTCTCAGCCATAAGATCTTTTTACAAAAACAATCTTCAGGTACTTCTTCTACTTGAATACTGCATATGTGCACTAAGCACTGACTTAGGAAATACAGGCCCGCGTTCTAACTACCACCACATGGAATCTGGGCATCCCAGTCAGACACATACAGTTATAAATACATTTTCAGAGAAACCCCATAAAAGCAGGATTCTGTCTTCTTTTAATTACTTAGAGAAAGAGATGCAGCAAAAGTAAAATACCTGAGCAAGACTTCTTATTTGAATTGCGTGCTGGTCTTACTGAAATCAAATACCGTGGCTCTGCATCTGCAAACAAAGAAAGCAGAAAATAGTATAGGCTTGCCATTTATTTGAGTAAGGAATTAACTTATTATTCATGTGAAAAAGTACAAGATTCCAAGAATGCTTGATAGGTTATCCTATCTTTATGATCTTCAGGCACGTTTCCTTTAAGATTTATTCAACAATCATCCAGAAACACGTTAGCCATTGAATAACACACCCCTGCACACAAAATTTGGCACTTCTTTTTGACAGAGACCTAACAAACAGGTGAAGATGGCAGGATATACATGCAACATTTCAACCCAAACACCACTTTGGCAGTGAGGGGGAAGGAAAGTCTGGATGAAGAGGAAGAGGTGATAGCAAAGCAAAAGAGCAGGTAAAGAAGTTAAGAGGATAAAGCGTGAAGAAATGTAATCAGAAATATCTGCACTCCTAAAGACAGACCGAGGAACTGCTACAAAGCAAGAGTTCCCTAGGCAGTAACCACTTGTTGGCTATTTACAGCCTTCCCTATCTCAAGGTCTGGCACATAAGCAGTAGAAAAGAAAGACATTAGAGGGAATTTTCCTGGCCTACTGAATGCTATATTTGCATACTTTTCAAATTATTCCAGCAGAAAAACAGAATTTTCACTATGCTCTTTTATATATCTGCAGTCTAAGAGAAAGTAATATACAAACGCAGAAAGGTTGTACTCTACTGTTCCCACCCATTATATAGCCACACAAATAGAGTATCCATCCAAGTGTGGAATACTGTAGTGGTTGCTGATGCTGCCAACGGAGGAGGACTTCCAAGATCAGAGGCTGCTGATGAAGATACCTTCAAACAGTATTTCTACCAGCAACTATCTACAAAACAATCAACTTCAAAACCATCTCCACATCCATCAGTAACTAGTGGCATATTTGTTTATGATGTCAAAATAGTGTCTGTTTTCTTTGTATATATAATAGTTTTCCCCTGCTTCTATTGTCAGTCACATTAAACTGGCTTGTCTAATGGAGATGGTTGTTTTAATGCACATGTTTTTCTAAAGGATAGTTTGAACAGCCTTGCAGTGACGTCCCAAGGAGTTACAGGAGCAGTTACTGCAGTTTTATCCACACTAGCATAACTTTGCAAAGTAGTGTTGCAAGCTTTCTGTTTATCCAATACTTATTTTGTTTGCTCTCTCCTTACGGAAATCTGGATATAAGAGAAAACTGAACAATTTCTCAGTGGTTGTGCTTAACTGGTGAACTACAAGGCGTTGCAAGGATGCACTGGAATATGCAAGAAACCATATGTTTCATCAATATAGAGAGATTTAGACACATTATCTTAAACAGAACAACATTTTTACTTTTTTACATAAACTTTTCCTTTAAAATTATGCTGATTAAAAACTGCCTTAGCTATATGGTAATCTGAATTTTGCCCGTGCATATCTCTTTACAAGCTCCCATGACTTCTTTTCAAGTGTTAAAGTTGGTTGAGAGCAATGTTTGGCTTTAAATACTGAAGGACTGAAAACTCTGACATCTGATATCAAGAGTAATGAAAAATCTCCCTCTTTCTGAGGATGAATTTCCCCAAAGTTGCCATGTCCCTCTCAACATTATTTTATCAAAACACTTATTATTTTAAGCTGCAGAGCCTTCACTGCCAGAAGCATCATCTGAACTTGTGGCCTCTTACCATGTGTGCATATGTTCTTTCAAACACCATCAAATGTCCCAAAAATGTGTTAGCTTCGTGTAAAAGTAACAGCAAACTTGGTTTGCTTCATATCATGATGTTTTATAGGCTAGTATTTCCAAAATATTCACAAACTGGTTCACAGTTGACACCCAACTAGCCATGACCGAATGTTTAAGAATGGCTGCAGTTTTGATTTACTTGAAGAGAAACTTAAGGCCAATCTCAAGGCTTAAAATTGAAAGCTGAAAATTCTCATCCTTGGAAAGGCTTTGTGTTTATTTAGCTGTGTAATAGGACCTGCTCTGTTAGCATTTTTTGACATGAAGCTTTTGCATCTTTTAGGGGAATTTGCACAAAAGTGTAAACTGGAGTTAAAACAGAGATTGTCTATCATGTAAAGATTTTTAAAAAGTACATTGCAAAGATTCTCTTTTGCTATGAGAAAACGCGTAGTGGTTAAATGCAAAAGAATTGTAGATGTTGGAAAGTATGAAAAATGTAGTTTGTTTCTGAGATGAACTTATTGAATAAGAAAATCAGTTAACTGTTGCTCTCCTGTTATATGCAAAATTACGTCTATTATAAAAGTACCCAGAGATCCCACTCAAAGTCACAGCCCTTTAAGGCTTTAAAGGTTAGTAATAACTCTGTTTTCATAACGAGTACCCAAAACTGTCAAAGGACTTCACAGATCTCATAATAACTCTGTGCAAAGGGTATGCAGCTTACTTATAAAAGAAGCCAGTAGCTGATGTGGAGACTATCTTATGTGTGTTTGACATTATGGTGTTTCCTGTAACTAGAAGGTCATGCAAGTCTTGACCGATTTAATATTAGCCCATGGGGTTAAGCCCTGCCAAACTGTTGATGCATTTAGTTTACTCTTTTTACAATGTTACAGCACAGACTAATAGGTCTGCTCTTTATTGAGAAACTGCTTACAAGAGGAAAACTGAGGTCAATAGCCTGAAACAACACAGAAATTAGAAAGTTTTATTTTGTCACCAGGAAGAAATGCCTGCAATGAAATGGTTCTCAAAGGTTAAAGACAAAATATGTGCTGCAGAATGTGCCAGTCAAGATTATCATCTCATATTCTCTTGTTTTTGTTTTGATCTCTGTAATTAAATCACTGCTAATTTTAAAAGCAGAATTTAGTATGTTGTTTACTTAAAAATATATATACATATAGGATATGTTTGTAGGCAGTAACTTAACTTCACTAATTCTATGCAAGTCAGTCAGTCACTGGAAGCCCATGCTATAGGTGTACTTTAATTGTTTATTTATTGTTTCTAAATGGGTTTCAATTGCACCCAAAATAAACATAACTGAAATGAGCACTGAAAGCAGCTGCAAAAAGCAGTCTAGAAAAAAGAATTAAAAAGAAATAACAACCCCAACTTGAATTCATCCCTTCATTTCCAAAAAGCCATTTTTAATATTTATGGAAGCATAGTTCTTGTGGGATCTGTGCAACAATCTGGAGATTTTTTATGCTGGCACCTAAAAAAAAAATTAGATGACACACTAAAATAATCCATTTGATTTTCTGGTATTTTAAACCAAGTTCTCTGCTGTGCATTCATGTCCACTTGTGAGATTGTTACCACCACTTTCAGAAAGTGCAGAGCAAACTTTTAACTACCATAAAACTACTTCCAAGTGTCATCTTGAAAGCTCATAAAGTTTCTCTTCAGAAATGCAAGAATATATGTTTCTATCAAAGTGCCCAAAGATGACTAAAGAAAGTTATCCAAATGGTTGCAAACAGCCAGTTTTGCCCTGCTCTTTCATTTGAGAAATTAATTCTGGCTGAAGTCTGAGATGACATATGTAGAACTATATAAATAACTTATTTATAGTCACATTTTGTTTAACAGATAAGAACTGTAACCATCTCCCTACACATCTCAAAACTATGAAAACTGATACTTATCAGGAATCATTAGTTCTACCAGGTGTTTCTGTTCCGTAACAAAGTGCTCTCTGCAGGAATATTTTGTGTTGAGTGTTGTCCATTAAGGTTTTTGGGGGGTTGGGAAGTGTCCCCCCTTTAAAGAATATGATATCTCCATATTTTCCAGTGAACTCACCACTTTCCTGATAATACAAACTATAAAGGAAGTATTTAGCAAAACAGGACAGGACTAAACGTTGAGAGACTTTTGTTATAATAGGCAGGTTTAAGAAGTACCACCTATCTGATTTAGGGACACTGATTTAAGTCATTCTGATCAACTTAACTAAAATCAGAATCTGAAATGATGAGAAGAGTACATGCTACTACAGGTATTAGAAAACAGCAACTGTCATTTATCTTGGATTCATCTGTTCGATACAAAGTAGCAGGCATTACACAGAAACAGAGGAACACAGGCCTCCAAATGCTTCTGTCTATTTTGCACACGGAGATACATTCTATATCCAAGCATATGACTGAAGGAGGGAATGGCAAAGGGCTTGGTTAGTCTCACCCAGGGAGTCCAGATTCAGGCTTAGAAGTGGAAGTTTGTTCTTTGTCTTGCAGTGTTCCTCTCACTAAGTTCAGAAGGTCACTGAGTCTTTGCACTGATTCAATTCCCTTCCTGAGAAAGGTATTAGTGGCCATAATGACACGGAAATCAGCTGATGCTCCAACAATTCATTCATTTTCAAGGGCTTAAAAATTGCCTCACCAATGTATTAGCCTCTACCTAGTTGCAAGAACTCCTTATGATCCTTTGTTTTCCTTTATATGCATAAAGCACTTTATAGAACTTTAAAGCACTTTCTGCCTGTAAGAAGCAGAAATCTTAGCACATTGAATTTGTAAATACAGATATGCAAATATCAGGTATTAAAATCCAAATGAAGAGGAACACTAGTATTTCTAAAGGGAAAGCTGAGGAACACAGGAGTTAAAAATGAAATGCTGCCAGCTTATGCTACTTCGTCTCTATGTTTAAGGGATGAACTAAATGACTGCTGAAGAACTGGGCAACATAAATGTGACGATCAAACCCACAAAAGGGTTGTGTGTCATTATGCTTCCCAGAATTTATCAACTATTTACACAGAAATATATTTAAAAATAGAGAAGTGCATTTCCAAAATACAATGATTATTTGAAATGCAAATCAAATCAGAGTAGAGATAATACAAGTTAAGAAAAATAGAGATATAAACTGTATGACCTGTGTTCAATAAGGTAATGATACTTACATAAGTAAGGTAAATGATTAAGTGTCTAGACCCAGATCCACGAATTCCAAATCGGCCTCCAGAAATCATTTCAGCCAACAGCGTTAGTATATAATCCTCTGTACTTCTTGTGAGGTACCAGAATCTCATAA